ATGACTTGGGTAGGTTCCAGGTTGATTTGGCGATTGAGGTAGACTAATAAGGTGTGAAATTGCTTACCTTACACCAAGGCCTCCAGTGCCATTTTGTGTTTTTTTTGGGGTGGGTTAACAAAAAAGAGTGCTGTCAGCGAATCTTACAGTGGTTCGGACGAAGGTCGGATTTAGGGCCAGCGGAGGCGGTCTGTTGCTTCAGAAGCTGGCTTGGCCAATCGCTTGGGCCTCTCGAGGCAGCTGGGTAATGTGTCACACGGACCCCAGGAAGCAAAACTCCTGCGGACATGGTCCCTTAGATTCCATGACGACCCCTACCAACCTCAAGGGTCAGGGGATGTTTTGACCACACGCTCGAGGATTCCAACTCCCGCCCAGACGCGCCGCCCTCCCCCACCCCGCATCCGGCGCCTGATACACCGCATTCTGGAAGGCGTTGGCTTCTCGAGGGGCCAGCAGCCCACCGACCTCCGGATCACGGAAGCTGCGGCCGAGAGAAAGAGAAAAAAACGGCACCGATGTTTTGTGGGTAGCAAAGCCAAAGAAACCCCTCCCACAAACGGCCTTGAGCCCTGGATGCAACCCACCTCTTTGGGCGCAGAGCTTGGAAGGGATCTCACAAACTGGATCCACTTACAGCCTCAACCTAGGATTTAACAAACTGTGGATGGTTGTGAAATCCATTCGCACCACTTTTGAAGCCATGGGAAACCATTCTTTGCTGGTATTTATAGGGGGAATCATCTTTTCAGGGTGTCTTAGGTGGTGCAGAAATTCTTCGACCATCCACAGTATGAAATAACTGGGAACCCCAGATTCATAAAGGGGGGGTGTCCAATTCTTTTTATGGGTTCAGACCAGTTTTGGAGGGAACACCCCCTATTAATCAGCCAGCATTTTATTTGGTCGACATTACTGGTCATTATTCTGCCAGTGTCAAAGTCACCTGCCCAGTGGCAGGTTGAAGGGAAACCGCCCCAGCTGCTATGGTCAAAACAATGACCCTGGCAATAATACCAACCGTTGGCCCAGAAAAAGAGCATTTCTTACAGAGGCCGTGGCCGCTGCACCTGCGATCAGCTCGCGCCGGCCACCCACGCCTGGCATGACACGGCTGCGGTTGGGAACCTGAACAAAGGGAGCGAAGACCAGTGTGTGGTTTCCTTTTTGCTTCCGACGCAACAAGGGGCGCTCTCAAAAAAAACGCCGTAAAGCAGGTCCAAGTGAGCACAAAGGGCAACCAGCAACCGCAACCCTTGGTTTTGTGCAACTGTTTTTCGCTGAACAGCATGACCGAGGCAGTTTGGCACACCTTGGGCGCACTCTTGAGGGAGCCTCGTGCACTGAGCGGCGAGTGGGGCTCTGCTTGCGGGAGGCGGCTGCGGGTGTACCCGCCCCCTTTTGCTCCCCGAGCTATCGAAGCCAACCCCGGATGGCTTTTCAAAAGTTTCGATGAGTCAGCTCGTAGCAGCCGATCGAGAAACCCACCTGGCCTTGGCAGACCTGCGGATGGAGCACTATCGTGCCGGAGCATGCGCACATTGCTCGCCGGCGCTGGCTACGGCATCCGCTGCCTCTTACTCAATGCTGCTGTGGCGCAGGGCATGCGCCGTGCTGTGGGCGCGAGCCTTTCGTCGCGCTGGCCTTTTGGCTCGACCGCCACCAGCTCGAGTTCGCAGTGTAGGGGGCCATGCCACGCCCCGAGGCATTGTGCTGCGACGTCACCTTGGTCAGGCCCCCTTCGTCGCGACTGACCACATGCCGGCGTTCCCATTGGGAGGGTTCTGCATTCTGAGCCGAACCCGTGTTGCGCATTTGCAAGCCGTAGCTGCAAGAATCTCTCTGAAAGCTTCTCTGGGCAAGATCTCCGCGCAAGTTGCTCTGCACAAAGTCTGCGCGAGCATGCCCTCGTCCGAATTGATCTGCATGTCCTCTCGCGCTACTTGCTTTGCACGTCCTCTCATGCATCTTTCTCTTCATGTGCTCTCCTGCTGCCTGCTTTGCCTGCTCCTCTCCTGCTTCTTGCTCTGCATGCGCTCTCGTGCTACTTGCTTTGCGCTTCCTCTCGTGCATGCGCTCTGCACGATTATGCAACTTGCTCTGCATGTGCTCTCGTGTATCTTGCTCTAGCTGCGCGAGCTGTGGCTGGCAGCTCCAGAAGAACCTTCCACAATGCTTTCCTCGCTTCCTGAGTGATTGGCCAAAAAAATCCAAACTTGTTCCTTACCACTGAAATGGTGCGCAAACCCAAAAAGTTCAAGGTCCATGAACTCAGGGACTCAGTTTCAGGGACATTGCAGCAGTCACGGCTGAAACGGCCGAAAAAACGCCTTACCTCCAGTCCAGCACAGCGTCCGGCAGGCACCTGGGCCCGGCTCAAAGAATTCGGCGTAAAGTATCGGCCCCCCAAGTGCCCAATTGCCTATGACACGGGGTGAACAAGTTGCTTCTGGGGGGATTTGGGTTGCAACGTGCAACCCCCCTCCCAGCAAATCCGGAGTCTCTACAGGTTGCTCCCTCCTGTTGGCCGAAGAGTTTTTCAACCACCACCTCGATTTGCTTAAAGCCCCCATGGAAAAAACACAAATATGTCCAATAGTGGTAGATCCCCTTTTTTAACCAACAAGCGAAAACGAAACCACAGTCTTTCGCACGTAGAAGCCATCGCCCAAATCGACAGAATCGACAGGTGACCGCAGCAAACCTCCCGCCTGCGGCCAGAAGCAGGACACACGCCGCGCGCGCCTGCCGGTCATCGGCCGAGTCAAGTGATCCTTGAAATTCGCCTGCCGCGAGGTTCCACAACGGCCGTCATGAGTGGCCCTTATACAATCTTTCCAAGACCGCGCCGGAGGCCGGTTGAAATGGGGCTCAAGCTCAGGTCGAAGCAGAATCAGGCATCAAGCGGAGTCCAGCCGAAACAATCCAAAGAATCAAGAGTGTAAAAGGGCCTAGCTGCGCACTCAACCTGCCATATACACCTCGCAGCCTCCAACGGCTCTTAAAGTGATGTGGATGCCCAAAATGGCCGCTGCAAGCATGGGCTTCTTGACCCCATTAAAAGAAAGGCCCACGGGGGCCCACTGTGGATGAAAATCCTGAAAGGTAAACAATGGCGGTGAAACATGAGGTAGTTGTTTGACCCAACCATTGTTTTACTCGTGGTAACTGAAACCACTGATAGCTGAGGGATTTCAGTACAGTTGATGAAACCCCAGTTCAATCTCACCAAAAGCCCAGAGATTGGACAAGTCTTCACCTTCCCAGTTCCTGCTTGCCTCCTCCCGTCTGCGACTCACCGCCGCCATTGCAAATGGATTCGAATTCTCCCTCTGAGCCATCAGATGATCATCAGCGGCGTGCGATTGGTTTCTCTAGAATTCCTTCAACCATACTTGTCAATCGTCTGTTTCAAAAGCCAGCCCCTAAGGACACGTCTTTTGGTGGCTGACGGGAAAGGAATGGCGGGTGGAGCTCCCCTCGCGTTCTTCAACACCGGGGGGATCCCTCATCCTAATCCACAACCCGTGGGGCGCCGTGGGGCACAACTAAAGCCATTTTGAACAGCCCAGCTTAGGCGGCACCCAAGAGCCAACGAAGGATGCTTGGGGCACCCTGTGTTACCTATGCTGGGACATGTCCACATGTTCCCACAATTCATGTTCCAACCATTTCCCGAGCAACTATCTCTAGCATGTCTTTCCCAGCGCAGGGCGCCTTAAACTGTCCAAAATCATTTCAAGGAAGACCACCTGACATAGGTGCATAGGCCAACCTTCCAGGTTCCCGTGCCATCCAGGCCGCTTGAGGGAACTGCCAGCAGTGCTTGGTTCCTTCTGGACCGTCTTGGCGGGTAGTGGTCAGAAAGAATACCAAATTTCTTGGTGCATTCTATCATGGACTACCCCATAAGGTAGCCAGAAAGTCGGAACGCCTCGCGGAAAATCACGGAACTTCATGGAACTCCCGCATTTTGAGCCAACCAATTCCCGCGCCCAGCCCCCAAGAGCCCCAAGAAATTCCTAACTTTTTGGACGAGCGCGCGTCGGTATTCTAACCTCACTCCACCTGGCCGAAGGAAGCCCAAAGCCGAAATCCGAAAGGCGACGGTTTGCCAAGGCACTTCTTGCATCCTCGTTCCAGTGGAAGTGGACAGGTTCACGGGATGTTCTGTTTTTTTCATGAGAATTTGCTGCTTCACGCAGCTAGCGGGCACACCCCTGAGAGAAGTGGACAGGTTCCCGGCCTGATTCCATGATGGGGGGGGTAAGACTTGCGCAAATGCAGCACCAGAACGCCGCGCAAAAAAAATAGGCCGCCAGCCGCAGGCTTGCCCAAAAGCTCCGCGCTCGTTTTTCCCCCATGGCAGCCTTGCGAATCCATTGGCCACAGAACATGCACCCTTTGCCACAAGCGCAGCGCCCAAAGCCCGTGGAACGCCATTGGTATGTGAACATAAAGATTTCTGTATCAAGACATAATGAATAAGACATAAAGTTGGAAAAACAAAAGCAACATCGCCAGGAGGAAGACCTGGCCAAGGGTTCTCGCCGCTGCGCCCGCCATCACACCAGACCTGGGCGGTCATTGCCCCCCTGCCAAACAAATAAAACTGTGGTTGGCAAATACAAAGCTCTCTCCCAAAACAAAACGGAAACGGTTAAAACTAACCTAACTTGAAAGTGCCAAAATAGGGATTCCCCGAAAACACAGAGAGAGAGAGAGAACGAGAGAGAGAGAGAGAGAGAGAGAGAGAGAGAGAGAGAGAGAGAGAGGGAGAGGGAGAGGGAGAGGGAGAGCGAGAGAGCGTGTGCGTGTGTGCGAAAAGGAAGGAAACCCAAAAGAGCCTTTTCGGGCAAAACGGCGGCTTAAGTCTGACACATCTTGATTTTCTTTCGGTGAAAGGGGGCAACACCCGGAAACCCCACATAAAACTACCAAAAGAACGCATGACACGCACCCGGAGCCCTTTTTTGTCGCCCAGCCGCCGCTTCTTCGTC